GGGAGTGGGCAGAACTTGAACTGAAGTCTGAATCCACCATGTGTTCACTGAACCACATAGAGTTCAGATATGTGGAGAGAAGACCAGAATCTGACCAGGTAATCAGGGTTCCTTAGCAAGGAACTCTGGGTAAATCCTGGTTTCAATGGACTCAGTCGTAAAATGACAATGGTAATGCTAAGACACACACTTCAGAGTCCTGTATGAGACTGTGTGATCTTTTGAGAACTTTAGGCGGTTGCACTGTATTACCAAAAGAAGCATCAGGTTAAGAGAGATGGGAGACAATGTTGTCAAACACTTTGTACTCAGATACTGTTTTGTAGAATGGGAACTTCTTTGTACAACTATTTAAAGATAATAAAAAAATAAGTTAAATAAGAAAAAAAAAGAAGCATCATATATTCAGGAGGTCATGAAAGAGTTGGGCCAAGAAATCCTTTAAGCTTCATCCAGGAGATGAACACAACTACTCTTCTTTGAAGGGTTGAAGTGTCAAGGTTTTGGCCACCGTCTTTTCACATAGTACTTATGTGAGCTGAGTGGTATGAAATAGTAGTCAGTCTTCCTTGATAATAATTGTTTTGAGGCCAGTTTCTAAGGAGCAGAGGCTGAAGCTGTGACCCAAAGAAGCCTTTTCTATCCTGAGTTACAGGTCCTGCCTGAATTGTCCCTGCAGTGGGACAGTTTTATCTCATATTTGTTATCCCAGGTTTCTAGGTTTTTTGGCTTGGATTTGGAAAGAAAATTAAAAGTATAATCCCATGTTTCTGGGGAGCTGCGATTATGTTGTTTCTATAACAGTATAAAGTTTAAATTTAATCTTGATCCTATATATATTTTATCCCTATTGCTTCATGAGATTTGTCATCTAATTACAATAGTCATTAGGCTTGGCAAATTTTTCTTTTCAAGAACGTTGAACAGATTCCAGAATGTGGCATGTGTCTACACTAACCAGGAGAAAAAGAGAGGAGTTCAGCTGACTTTAAGATGAGGGCTCTTTGGAATAGTTTGGAAATAACAGTGGCCACATTGGATGTGTCTTATTATAGAATTATTACTATGAGGATTGTGTGTGTTAGTTACCTAATGCTATAGAGCACCCAAAGCATAGCAGCTTACTCTAGTGCACCTCTGCAGTCTCTCAGTTTGTGGAACACATGTCTGAATCCAGCTGAGCCAGATCCTCTGTTTCAAGATTCCTCAAAAGGCAGGGGCTATCCCCCATGGGGCTGTCTCCTTATTCTGGATTGCAATATAGGAATAGCAGCAGGAGCCTGAAATTATATCTTAAATCAGAAGCCAGAAAGAAGCTAGGAGTAGGAGGCCCAGATTCAGGTTTTTCTAACAACCCTCTCAAGATAATTAACCTCAGTCCCATGAGAAGTACCTCAGTATCTTCCATGTACAACCCCTCCACCCCCACTGACCTAAGAAGCCTCACCTCTTAATGGTCCCATTCTCCAACTCAAGGACTCTTGGGGGGACAAACCACCTCCAAACCAGTGGCTGGCTGCTAGTAAGCTGGCAGGTATGACCACTACCTCTGTGAAGGCACTTTTTTGGGGGAGGGGCAAGTAAAGGCCAGAGGAGAAGATCCGGAGTCCCCTTTCTCCTGATGGGTTTTATCTGTGAATCTTCATCTTGTAAGTCTTTATTTTTCAAGAACAAACAGAAGCAGGGAATGGAATTTAAGATGGACTATCTAGACATCCTAGACATATCTAGGAATGCTTTTTTTTATAACCATTAGTTATCTAAGTTAACCCTTGTGATATGGGAAATCTATTTGTTTTTCTCACATTTTTCACCTCCTAATGGGAAATGTAAACTTCCAAATGTTCAATGATTTGCTGAAGTTATAAGCTAGAGAATAGTAGAGCCAACTCTGATTCTGGTCCCATATTCTTTCTCCTAAGTCCTGCCCAAAGAACTGTCCCCATTCTCAGTGTGTGGGTGGCTCTAACAAGAGCCAGGACAGCAGCAGTACTTGAAGCAGGACCATTGTGCCAGGAGTGTGGCCAGAAAGTTTGTCATCTCCTAAACCCAGCTATGTTTCCTGATGGCCTATTATATATCTGGTCATCATCTTGACTCATCTTGATCTGTGTGTGTGTGTGTCTGAATGTGTGCACATACACGTGCTGGTCCAGGGGCTTGAATTCAGGGGTTAGGTGCTGTCCCTGAGTTTCTTTTGCTTGAAGCTAGCACTCTACCACTTAAGCCACAACTCCACTTCTGGCTTTTTTTTTTGAGTAGTTTACTGGAGATAAGAATCTTGTGGACTTTCCTATTCTGTGATCCTCAGAGTATCTAGGATTACAGGTGTGAGTCAATGATGCCCAGCCAATCTACACTTTTACTTTCCATGTATAGTTTTAAACGTATGAACTAGTAATACCATAGTATATTGAACTGGACATGAGGAGTTACTGGTGTACTGACAGCAGCCTTCCACAAATAAGCCTGCTGGCATTTGAAGTTATGTGTTTTCTTTGTGATGCAGCTTTGAAACAATTAAAGGGGTAATATTCCCAAATCAGAACAGTCTATTATTTAGAAACTTCTCCTCCCCTCCACCCCTAGTTCATTTTACATTTCCAAGTCATATAGACTTTACCCAGTTGGTTGCAGATTTTATCTGACTGTGGACATGTTAGTGATCACATTGTTTGCTTTTTGTATCTTACTATCTTTCATTTTAGTCCCGGAATCAACAGACTTTTTCTATAGAGACAGTATAGAGAGTAAGTACTTCAGGCTTTGAGGCCTATGAGCTTATAGTGAATATCATATTCTGATCTGCCATGAGTGCAAAAGTAGCTTCAGACAATGTGTAAATGAGTGAACAAGGGTTCATTCCAATAAAACTTTAGTAAAAAGACAATGGACCAAACTTAGCCCAGAGTTGTAATTTACCAACTTGTGTCTAGATGATTAGTTTCTTAAGGACAAGGACAAAATGGACACCTCTGTGACCCACCATGGAGCTGGTGCTGGGTTATTAGGATAAACAAGGAAGATAGGTCTTCATCTTTGATACCTTTCCAGAAGCCTAACCTAGTTATGTAAACAGGGTAAAACCTTGAGCAGATTGTTTTTGGTGACCTGAATGAATTAGACTTCAAAAAAAAAAGAAGTTACATCTTATAGGAGCTGTGAACTTGACTGTTCCTCTTTTCCCTCCTTACTGCCCTCAAGCTTTTATCCTTCATCCGGGATTACTGGCATCTGCTGTTGTGTCGTAGGGATGAACAGTGGGAACATGGCAAAGAATATGGTAGTAAACATCTTCTGATGACCTCCAAGACAGTATTGAAGGCTGACTGGTTCTGTGTTCAAGTCTCTGGGTGCCAACTGTGAGGTGTTGAGTCTTCTTAGGCTGGGCTGTTCTCCTAGAGCTTGTGGTCTAGACAGACAGGCAAGTGACAGGCAATAAATCAAGTGTATATTTTTATAAGTTGTGGTAAGTGCCAGGAAGGAAACCGAAATGTCAGTGGTCAGTAGGCCAGTCATACAGATGACCATTCAATGCTACTAGTGGAAGGAGACTTTAATGTTGAAGAGAGAGAGACAGGCAGACAGATGGAGAGACTGACAGACCAACTGACCTACCAACTGACACTTCTTCACAGTAATGGAAGAAAGCTTTAAAGGGCCAATATCTACAAAGCCTTTAGCGCAGGACCTGGTGTACAGTTAGCACTACATAATGTGAGCCATTATCAGTTACCATACTGAGTACATGGCTGGGTGATGGTTGTGTAAATAGACTAATAAGGCTGTCCTCAAGCAACCTGAGGTATTTGTGTAAGCATTTTCCCAATATAAATATGTCAGGTGACCTTGTATAGAACCACTTTATCCAGTAGTAGACACACAAATCAACTCTACATAGGAAAGAGTAGGAAGATAGGAAGATAGGAAAGTGAGGGAGTGTGCCCTGAAAGTCATTAGTAATTCTTGACCATCTAGGGGTGTCTTTAAATTGTGTTACAGAATAAACTTTCAGCCTATTGTCATTAGCAGGAACCAGATCTCTCTCTCTCTTTCTCTCTCTCTCTCTTATTCTCTCTCTCTCTCTGCATGTATGTGTACATGTGTGGTGTGTATGTATGTATGTATGTATGTGTGTGTTGGTACTGAGGCTTGAACTCAGGGTCTTATGCTATCACTTGGCATTTTTGCTCAAAGCTGTAATTCTACTACTTGAGCTACACCTCCATTTCCAACTTCTTTCTGGCTCATTGGAGATGAGTCTCATGGGTTTTTCTGCCCATGCTGGCTTTAACTCAAAATCCTCAGATTTCAGCCTTCTAGGTAGCAAGGGTTATAGGTATGAGCCATTAGTGCCAGGCCTAGGAACCATATCTCTTAATGCAGAAGTTTTCCAACTCTGCCAGTAATCCACAGTAGAAATTGAAGTCCATGAACCCATAATGAAAATAAATATGTGACCACACCAGAGCCATAAAGCCCTTCTACCAAACAGTACTTTCTCTACATGAGCCATTCTTCAATATTTTTAGCCTATTTCTATTTTTGTTGGTGAGCTTTTTTGCTAAGCAAGTGCTGGTGGCTCACACCTGTAATCCTAGCTTTTCAGGAGGCTGAGATCTGAGGATCACAAATCTAAAATACATCTCCAATTAACTAGAAACAAGCTAGAACACCAGCCTTGAATGAAAAAGCCAAGTGACAGTGTGAGGTCCTGAATTCAAGCTCCAGTACATCCCCCCACCCCCCCACAGAGTTAAAAAGGGTTGCAAGTGTACATTTTGAGGGTTGTTTTTGTAATTCTTACCTAAGCATCTAACCAGTTACAAATGCTTTAAATGTTTTTGCTTACATGTTGAGCTTTGGGGTTCTTCAGAAATATTTACCTGTATATAAAATGATATTCTGAAAAGAGGTGTTGTAACAGAATGCAGACAAGCTATAGCCTCCAACTGGACAAGACTCATAATTCACTAAGATTTCCTTTCATTTACAACTAGGTAGTTGCCAGTTGCCAGCAGAATGAGCACAGAGAGAGACTCGGAAACAACATTCGATGAGGATTCTCAGCCAAATGATGAAGTGGTTCCTTATAGCGATGATGAAACCGAAGATGAACTTGAGGACCAGGGGCCTGCCATTGAACCAGAGCAGAATCGAGTCAACAGAGAAGTAGAGGAAAACAGGGAGACGTTCAGAAAAGGTAACGGTGAGGAGGGCTGGAGATCACATACCACATTTACAAATGCTCACACTGTGGTGATATAAACTAGTGCCATGGATAACTGGTCCGTGTTGCATGGTCCACAAGTACCCTTCCTTCTCTCATGTCCTTCTCAGATAGGCTTGGACAAGAACCCAGCATCCTCAGTTTGGCAGGGCTAGTGGATGGTATCTGACAAGTTGTATGGAGAAATAAAAGATCTTGGTGTATGTGCATGTATGTGTATATTGTGAGTGGGGGTGGGGGGACTTGAACTCAGAGACTTGAGCTCTTGCTTAGGTTTTTTGCTCAAGGATGGCTCTCTACCTCTTGAGCTACACTCTCACTTCCAGCTTTTTACTGGTTAATTGGAGGCAAGAGTCTCATAGACTTTCCTGGCCAGGCTGGCTTCAAATTGTGATCCTCAGATCTCAACCTCCTAAGAGGCTAGGCCGAGCCACCAGTGCTGGGGTGTTTGTATATATATTTTTTAAAACAGTTGCATATGAAAAAATTTGCTCGTTAGTGCACCTAGGAATTGAAAGAGCATACACATTAATCAGAATTTGGGTGCAAATTATTGTTAAATTATTGGTATGATATATAAATAACCACCTGTGCGCGCACACACACATTTATAACTAATGTGGACTCATCGTGAAGACATTATCGTGTATGTTAGATTGCAATGTGTATGCCCAAATGCCCACAGTCTCCACCTTAGCCTCAAATGAATGTACAAATCAACTGGTCAGTGCCAGGTTTCAAAATTTATCTCATCTCTTTGCCTCCTGGAGCCAGGGAACCACTTAGTGAGAGCTTCTTAAAGCCCTCTCAAAAGCATCGGACTGGACCTTTTCTTTTTTCTTTTTTTTATGCTGGGGCTTGAACTCGGGGCCTGGGCACCTTAGCTTTTTCCCAAGGCTAGTACCTTAGCACTTGACTTATACCTTAATGTCTGGTTTTATGGTAGTCAATTTTAGATAAGAGGCTCACAGCCTTTCCTGCCAGGGCTGGTTTTGAACCGAGATGCTCAGCTCTCAGTCTCTTGAGCAGCTAGGATTACAGGCGTGAGCCACCCAGCTTAACGTATTTTTTTCCAAAATGCGATGTGGCTTTTTAGAGGCCCTTGTGGTCCCCATACCTTTTGTTTAGTCATTTGTGAAGAGAAATGGCTCTGGTTCTCTAGGAGGAATTTTTTTTTTTTTTTAATGGATCTCTGTTTGCCTTCTGCCCAAATCCATCCAGGATCAAGGCGAGGGGACTTTTCATGTGAAGGGACATTTTAGGCTCTATGGGCCTTGCCATCCTTAGTGCAACTGCTCAACTCTGAGCTGGCGTGGAAGTGGCCTTGGAGAATAGTCACTTAGGACAGCAGCGCATGGCTTAATTCCACCATCGCGCCTTTTGTGTTCCTGTGCTTCCCCCATCCTGGCAGGCAAATGTGGCCTTCTCTTGTGGCTCTTCTGACGAAGCTGAGTGTTTCTGCTTGGACCCCAGATTTGTTCCAGGTTGCAGGTTAAATTCTTTATCCCATGACGGCTCAGATTCCAGCTCTATCTGGAAATCTGCCCTTTTCCATTGACTGCCACCAGCTCAGTAGCCTGTGCTGGGTCAGAATAACCTCTGGTTTCTCCTGAATCTTTCCTCTGCCATGTTACCCCCAATGGCTCTTTGTTTTCCCTCCTCCTTCTTCTCCTTCTCCTTCCCCCTCTCCCCCCTCCTCCCCCTCTTCTGCTGCTTCTTCTTTTTTGATTGTGCTGTAGTTGAGGACTCAGAGCCTTAGACTCGCTAGGCAGGCTCTCTACCACGTGAGCCACACCTCAGTTATTTTTCAGGTAAGGTCTGTTTTTGCCAGGGACTGGCCTCACATTGCAGTCCTCCTATCAAAGTCTCCAGTGTAATGGGGATGGTAGGTGCATGCCACCATACCTGGTTTATTTGTTGATAAGATAGAGTCTTTTTAACTTTCTGTGCAGGATAGCTTGAACCACAGTCCTCCCAATATCTGCCTCCCAAGTAGCTTGTATTACAGGCATGTGTACTCTTGGAAATTTTCTATGATCCTTCTTTTCTTCTTGACATTCTCTGCCTCTCATGTTGCTACTTCTCATTAAGCCATTTTTTATTAGATCTGTAGGAAAACTAGGAAGCTGTAGCATAGTCTCTGAGGAGACCACCACTTATGCTGATTGTCCTCCCCTTTTCTGAGTCAAACATTCAGGCATATTAGCCGTAAGTGTGACTTCTGGGTATTACCTTATAATATTGCGAATCAGCCATACGAGCTTTGTGTCCCAACACAGAGCACACTGGAGTCATGATCACTGAGTGAAATTAGGAAGGTATCACTGACCACTCAAAGAAGGTGGCCTCTGTCCCAACACATGTCGATGGAGCAGGGAATGACCTAAAGTAGCTCAACAAATTAGCAAGAGAGTTCTGGTTGATTGCCCAGAGTGAATAAAACATGCTTCTTCCTCATTCCCTCCTGAGTGTCACTTCTGTCACAGCCTCAGAATCTTTACAATCTGAGATAGCTGGTGAGTTGGCAGGAAAACTGGCTCTGTGGGTGAAGGGTGAGCTTTGCCAAGAGTGCCTAATGCCAGGCAATCAGATGAACGGCTGAGGACGGTGAAGGGCCTGGGGTTGGGCACCTGCAGAAACCACAGAGGAGCACGTACTGAGTGGACATAGTTGCCTCTGGTTGTTGTTTTTGTTTGTTTGTTTGTTTTGTTTTTTGTTTTCCAAGTCTGCCTTTCTCCATCCATTTGCCAATCATCTGCTTTGTCGATTTTTTTTTTTACCCCAGTCATTTGGGCACTGAGAGGGCTTGGTCTTGATCGTAGCTCTCCCCCCGCCCCCCAAGGCTAGCATATGTTCCTAAAGAATTTTTAGGAGTTGTTCAAAACCCTAGCGAAGTGTCTTTGCCTGACTTGATATGGTTATTCAGACCCTCTTGTCTGCACAAAGGACCTTTAGTAATTGCTAGACCTCTTTTCTCCCATTTCTCTTCTATCCTACATTTCCACAGCCAGCTAGCGCCCCTTACTCCTCACCTTCTTCTCCCCTCCTCTCTGTCCTCCTCTCCTTATCTTATACTGTCCTCTTAGTATTTGCCAAGTTAGTGTCACTCTGACCTTTCCTTTTAAAAATCATGTCTCTTCTTCCTTCCTTCCTTCCTTCCTTCCTTCCTTCCTTCCTTCCTTCCTTCCTTCCTTCCTTCCTTTCTTTCCTTCTTTTTTTGGTTTGGCAATACTTGGGTTTGAAATCAGGCTAGATAAACAAGTATTCTATCCCTTGAGCCATATCCCCAGCCTTTTATGTTTTAGTTAGTTTTTGAATAGGTTCTTACTTTTGTGTCCTGGACTATGATCCACCTATTTGTTCTTTATCATAGCTGGGAGTGCAGATGTATATACCACCATGCCCAGTTTATCAGTTGCCATGTGTTCCTGCTTGCTAACTTTTTACCCAGGTTGGCCTTGAACCTGCGATCTTCCTAATCACCTCAGGAGTATCTGGGATTGCAGGTGTGAGCCACTGCATCTAGCTCATCCATCTTTCTTGTCATTGTGCCGCATACATAATTTCCTTCAAACAATTCACTCCTTCAGGACACCAAAGCATTAGTCAACCTTCAAGGTACCATCAGTGTGAACAATTCCAGAGCCCAGCCCTCATACAGCAGAGGAGCACCTAAACGTGCATGAACCAGTCATTTCTTTCAGGACATCATTGTCACACAGAAAGTTGCCTTTCTTGTTTTAAAGAAAGAAACTACCCCAGACAACTGAGCTTGTGTGTTAAACTTGTGTTAAGCAAGTTTTTTGAGAGACTCATTGAACCTGCTTTTCCTTTGAAGGACCTTTATTGTATGCTCTGAGAATCAAGAACAAGTACAAACATGCTGTTAGAATGTGCTGTGGAGGAAGAGATAAGGCCCCTATTTCAGTGAAGTAACTTTACCATTGTTTTATCTTGAGCCAAGGTTGAAAGAAACTGTTGGAGCTGGGTGCCAGTGGCTCACCCCTGTAATCCTAGTTACTCAGGAGGCTGAGATCTGAGGATTGCGGTTCAAAGCCAGCCTGTACAGGAAAGTCCATGAAACTCCTATTTCCAATAGACTACTCAGAAAAAGCCAATTGTGGTGCTGTGGCTCAAGTAATACAAAGAGGCTTGGGGAGTTCAAGCCCTAGGACCAGGGATGAGGGGAGGGAGCCCAAAAATGTTGGGAAGGTCTCCTTGCTACTGGACAAATTTGCTGGTGTCCTGATGAATACATGAGAACATGAATTCTGCCAGAAGATTCTGTAGCCCCCGAGAATAGACACCTGGAGGTCTTAGTCCCTTCTGGAGTTTAAGGTTGTCCATTAGCATGCAAAGAAAGTATCTGGCTTTTGTGCTTAAAATTCATCAGCTGTAGGATTACCATTCCACAATCCTAGTGTCTCCACACCCACTCTTCAGGTAATTTTACACCAATCAGGAACTGACTCAGAGATCAAATCCCCCAGAAGTTTCTAGAGAGATGTTTGGGGATCATGCAAATTGGTTTTTCCTCTTCCTCCTCTTTCTCCTCTTCTTCCTCTTTTTTCTCCTCCTAATTTTTGTGTCCATACTAAGGTTGCTGTCCCTTATCTTTTTTGATCAAGGCTGGTGCTCTACTATTTGAACCACAGCTCCACTTCCAGCTATTTGGTGGTTAGTTGGAGATGAATTTCACATACTTTCCTGCCCAGACTGGCTTCCAGCTGAGTTATTCAGATCTCAGCTTCCTGTGTAGCTAGGACTACAGCCATGAGACATAAATGACCAACTTCAGGCAGCTTCTTGATGACTATGTGGAGATGGAAACTTTTGGACTTTTCTGCCTAGGTTGGCTTTAAATCACAATCCTCCGGAACCCAGTCTGCTGACTAGGTAGGATTACAGGTGGGAGCCACTGGTACCCAGCCTTGGCTCACTCTTCTAAGCCTAGGAACAGAATGAGTATGGTG